TTAATTTGACAATTATGTTAAACATTCATAGTTTAATTGTTAGAGACGAGACTTTAATTCGTAATTGTTATTGTTCTCGTTTCGTTAGAGTCGTGCATCTCTAGGGTAGCATGAACATAAGCTAAATGGTATGATCTTTCGTATCTGTTGCTTAGACTAATCTATTTTCCTAGGAATTAATGCTGCTAGTGAATTAAATTTAGAGAGTTTATTCTATGTTGTCCACTACTAGTTAAGTTTAGTCGAAGAGTCTATTTCGATTAAATATTCGGTAAAGAAAAATTTGCTTAACGGAGATTGTTGTTAGCTAGGATTGGTGATTCATTAACAATTTAAAGAAGGCGTCAAAAGTAATTAACGGTAGATTTACATTGACTAATAACTGAATCGAAAACTGGACTTCTCTTATTTTATTTAATTTTTATTATATTTTATTATTTTTAGTTTTAGTTTTATAAAATAATCCCCCTTTTACTGCTTTCGAATTCGTAGTTTTAATTCGATTAATACGAGATTGTCACAACTTAGTTCCTACTCCTCGTGGGATCGACCTTTACTCGCCACTACCCAGTTAGTGTAGGTTAGTTGAGGAAACTTTATAATTTTAAATTTGTCGCGCAATATTTATTGGAATTTCGATTGTATTATTTTGATATTGATTCTTTTGTTTGAATATGCTATTATTAAAGCGTTTTATAATACAGAACGGTTCCCAAAAATATATAAAAAATGTTATTGTGTATATTTGTATATTTACCTTGTTAGCCTTAGGTTATCTTTATATAAAGCTCCTAAACTCTAAATGGACAAATATACGCAAATATACACAATAACTTAATAACACAATATACACAAATAACAAAAATCCACCGAGGAACCAAAGCCATTCACGATACTAAGACTATGTTTGGTAAAAGTAGCTGATAGCTGATAAACTAACTTATAGCTTATATGTGATTTTCGAGTTTAATTATAGCTTATAGTTACTTATAGCTGAAAAACTAGCTTATATGATAAACCTGTTTGGTAAAATTAGATGATAAACTAGCTGAAATAAAAAAATTCAACTAGCTTATTTGAAAAGTTACCTAAAGAACTCGAGTTTTTTTAAAAAAGTCCGTCCTACCAAACGAGGCTTATTTGAATACATGAAACTTATAAACTAATCAAATAAACTAGAAGCTAGCTTATTTGACTACCAAACATAGCCTAGATGGATATTCTGTTGCCCTTTATCATTCATGCATGTTTAATTAATGGCCAATTTATTAGAATGCTATATTGAGATCTGATCAGAAAATGATAATGTTAAATTCTATTAAGCAATATTATAAAAATGACCATATATTTTTCTAGTTAAGCATGACACTTTGACTCAATATATGTTATTAATATCAATGAGTTTGGTGGGTGATGCAATAGATTCCAATCCTTATCGTTTCAGAGTAAACATTTTGATCTCGTGATTAGTTATAACTAGTATTCGTCCACGTGCATATGCTAGACAAATAAAAAATTATATACTATATGTATATATACAATATTTAAAATTTTAAATTAGATAATGGATGTATTACATTTTAAATTTTTTTACTATACACAAATATATAATATAAATATAAATTATTAACTTGCATATGAATCTTTATATTAATGACATAAATTTTAATGAACAATGTGATTTTGTAATTTAGAGGGAGAATACGATTAATTAGTTAGAAAAATATTATAACTATTTTTAGTTACTTATATAATTTGAAAGAGTTTAATTATAATACTCGTGTCAATTAACTAATATTAGAGAAAAATTTCTTAATAAGACAAAAATAATATTTATTATAGAATAAGTATCTTAATAAAAAAATTGCAATACAATCTTTATAAGTATGTAACTTTCTAATACTATCTAACTAGTATTAGTAGTAATTATTACATAATAAATTAATTTAAATTATTATTACACTTTATTAATGTATAATGTAACAGTTCTACATTAATTGAAAAAAAGAATTTTTTTGGGCGGAAAAAAGAAGAAAAAATTTATTAAATATTTTATTTATGAATTAGCAAGCAATTATATATATATAGATTTATAACCACAATCACATAATTAATTAAGTGCGCTCCCTGATGGTAGTTGCTTCTTTTGGATATTGCTTAGTGACTAATGAGATTTATAAAATTCATGAAAAATGAAAGCAAAAACAAAAAAAATACTACAAGTACATAATAAATGTACATAAAGGTATACATAAAATTACATAGAGTGGGGTCTACTTGATTTTTTATTTGACAAATTTTTGATATGACCCACTTAATGTGAGTGTTATGTACACCTCTATGTACAATATTATGCACCTATAATATTTTTTCAAGAACAAAAGTATATAATTTTTTGCTTAGGGACTCGTTTTCACTAATATAATATTTGATCTCGCACCATAAAATAACCCGACTTGACCGAGCTAGAGATATCAGGTAATTAAACCTACATGAAATTTAACTAAGATAATTTATATATTATTTCCGCATAGTTGCGTGACATCTGGTCTATTATTTTCTATTATTTGATTCTACAGAAGTACATTTTAAGAAAAAACACGTTTTTTGGGGGCGAGTGATTGTAAAAATAGTTAATTAATTCATGTTTACTTTTTAACACGCTGATTATTTAATTGACTCTTCCGAGCCGAGCTCGACTTAATAAATAAACAGTCAGAAATTGAGCTCGAGCTCGACTCTTTTATTACTATTAAAGACGAGTTCCAGTTTTAACCACCCGATCTCGAGCTTTAAAGAGTCGAATTACAGAAAACTATATAAAATTCTCTTTTCGAGTCTTATCGAGCTGAGCCGAGCTCGGCTCGTTAACCTAAAGAGCTTTAAATAAGCTCGAGCTCGGTTTGAGCTCTAGTCGAGCCAAGCCAAACTCTTTTAATTTAACAATACTAAGTGTGTGATAGGAGTGTCGTAGTTTCTACGTTAGAGGTTGTTTAGTAGATTGATCCAATTCGTGGTTCGAGACGTCCGATGCGAAACGAATGGACCAGAAATTTTGATGTGTCAATATTTCGTGCACATCAAATACAACCATATGTGTATATTATATAAAAATATTACATTATTATATCATATAAAATTAGTTTATTTAAGGATTAATTGATAGGGATCAATGATGGTGAGGTAATGATAATCACATCCATGCATGTGACATGATTTGTGATGAAATTTTAAAATTCCCCAAACCTTCATAGAAATGGCCAGTTACGTAAATGGAGGTGCAATTGCCTTTTGGCATTTAATTTGTTTTTCTCTTCCCAAAACAAAGATAATCTCAATTAATTCGTGCTTTAGTCTTAGTACCAATGTACCATAAGAATATGCATGTGTCACTATTGAAAAATAAACGTGGGCTTTAGAGTGCCGGCCACCACATTTAATGCTCACTCAACTCTACGCTGCATTCACGTACTACCCAAAGAGCAAACGTGTATATATGGCATTGTCAATCCTAAGCCCTCACGCGCATACGGTTCAGGGCACGGATTCAAAAAATAATAATAAAAAAAAAAAATCAAAAAGGTCGAATATATAAAATGAAGAACAAAATTACAATGTTTTACAGCAAAATATACAATTGTCGAATTTTAGAAAGATGATGTTCTTTTGAGTCGCAAAATGCGCTAATGATTGACTCATTACAAATAGTTCTAGCCTGAGTACGGTAGTAAATTTGCGTATTTGGAGTGCTCCTATAATCCACTATTTTTTATGGTTATACATACTTCTTATGGTATTCAATTTAATTAATACTCTAAATTACTAGGAAAAACTAATTATTAGACAAGGATTACTGTAGAATGAGGATTTACAAACATGTATTTATATATATTACAAAATATAAATAAAATAATATAATTAATAGTAACTGTGTCAGAGGCAATGTTTAAATTTCATACAGAACTGTAAGCGAGCCGAGTTCGAGCTCTTCATACTCGAGATTGAGTTTGAGCCAAGCAAAACCGGACTCATTAAGTTAACTTACAAGTTAATAAACGAGCTCGAGTTTTGCTTGTTAACCAGCCTCAACGATCCGAATTATGTTAAAAACTAGAAAAATTATGCAAAAATTCTCAATTTTCAAGCCTAATGAGCTTTACCTTGAGTCGTTAATTAAACGAGCTTGACTTTGGGCTTATTTACTAATAGAAGCAGAAAAAGTTTGCAGGGGCCATATATATTCGCTAGGATACACGTGTGTGATACTGATTGGGCTCACATGGGTGGTCCATGGGTTGTGTGATTTAGTTTCTGGCCCAACTCGCTGTCAGTTGGATCAACTCCATGAGTTCAATATGCTGACACGTCCGAGTGAATTGACTTTCCCAATGTTTTCACATTCTAATTCAACCAATCACTTTGTTCAATTTAGCTCAAGTACACTGTACACATCACATAGTCCTCTCACGTGAATTATAATGTGCCTTGAGTCAACTCCCGGAATTCCACTCTACCTTTATTCTTTTTTCCCTTGGGAACTTGTTTCATTTGAAAAACCCGACTCTACTACTTTTAATCTATACTATTATAATTTCTAAAAGAATTGCTTGCGATTGGTTCACGAACAAGTAAGTTCTTCTAACTATTTCATTTATAGCTAATGAAAGAAATATAAGTTAATCGCGAACTTTCATCCGAAGTATCATTTATGAATATGACACGAAGGCAAAACCCACCTTTTTGTATTCACCTCGGAAAGTTCTCTTTAAACCCCAAAACAACCAACAAAACTATTTATACTCTTCCAAACTCACTTCATTCTTTCACTTATTTCACTACAAGTCTTACTACACCAAACACATCTAACAAATCCAAACGAGCATTCATTCAATTCCAATCATTCAATTTTATTTTTTTTTTTGTGTGGTTTTTAATTTTTCAACTAAATATTTTTTTTTTCCACACTCTGCTGCAACATAACTATTTTTGAATTTTAACAAATGGCAAACATGGTAGCAATTAGCCAAGATGATCAACTTTTGTCCAAAATTGCGACGAACAACGGGCACGGCGAGAATTCGGCTTATTTCGATGGTTGGAAGGCTTATGACAGTGATCCTTATCATCCCACAAAAAATCCAAATGGAGTTATTCAGATGGGATTAGCAGAAAACCAGGTAGTTAAGTAATAACTATTCAAAAAAAAAAAAAAAAAAAAAAAATTGTATTTATAAGCTTTGGCAATTAAGTGCAAATTCTTATAATTTTCGAAAACACGAAAAATTTGCAGGCTGTTGCAAGGTTCATGGAGAAAGTGAGAGGAAACAGAGTCCGGTTCGACCCGAACCGTATAGTGATGAGTGGCGGAGCAACCGGAGCTCAAGAAACATTGACATTTTGCTTAGCTGACCCTGGAGATGCATTCTTGGTGCCCACACCTTATTATCCTGGGTAAGTTCATAGCATATAATTATTACTCTTCTGCGTTAATTTATTTTAATTCTGTTTTTGACTTGTGATTGCTTTGAAGTTCATTATATTAAATTAGAAGTTAGAATAATAAGTAATGTATCAAGAGTTCATTATACTATGGAATGTAATAAAATCTTCTCCGAAACTCAAATGTACAAATTTCATCAGAATTGTTCGATTTTGGCTCGAGTTTTCGATACTCTTATTAATCATGTCTTGAAAAATTTTATTTCTAACATTCTAAACTCCCATCATGCAGAAACGATCGCGACCTAACATGGCGCACGGGAGTAAAACTCATCCCGGTTATCTGCGAAAGCTCCAACAATTTCAAAATCACCCGCGAAGCCCTCGAGTCCGCATACCAAAACGCGAGAAAGTCAAACATCAAAGTCAAAGGCCTCCTCCTAAACAACCCGTCGAACCCCTTAGGCACGGTCCTCGACCGAGAAACCCTACGAGACTCCCTAAATTTCACCAACCAAAAGAAAATCCACTTAATATGCGACGAGATCTACTCCGCAACCGTTTTCGACCGTCCCGATTTCATCGGAATCTCCGAAATAATCCAAGAGAGCCCTAATAATTATTACAACCTCGACTTAGTCCACATTGTCTATAGCTTGTCGAAAGATCTCGGGTTCCCCGGTTTCCGTGTCGGCGTAATCTACTCGTACAACGACGCGGTAGTGAACTGCGCTCGGAAAATGTCGAGCTTCGGCCTCGTCTCCACGCAAACGCAACACCTAATAGCTTCGATGCTGTCGGACGAGGCTTTCGTTGACCGGTTTTTGACCGAGAGCTCGACGAGGCTCGGGGAAAGGCACGCGGCTATCTCCCGAGGATTGGGTCGAGTGGGTATCGGGAGCTTGAAGAGCAATGCCGGGCTATACTTGTGGATGGATTTGAGGAGGCTTCTAAAGGAGGCAACTTTCGAGTCGGAGCTCGAGCTTTGGAGGGTGATTGTGAACGAGGTTCGGTTAAACGTGTCGCCTGGCGGGTCGTTCCATTGCTCTGAGCCCGGGTGGTTTAGGGTTTGCTTCGCCAACATGGACGACGAGACGTTGGATGTGGCGCTGACGAGGATCGTTAAGTTCGTGGTGGGGAAGAGGAGTGGGCCAGAGTCGGGAAGTCGGAAGCAGAGCTGTCGGAGGAGGAAGCTCGAGATTAGTCTATCGTTTAGGCGGCTCGACGATGTGTCGACTCACTCGCCCATGTCATCGCCACTCGTGCCAGCTAGGACGTGAGATCCGATGTGGACATCATCGTCACATATGTCTTATATTTTATGATGTTTCATGCATATGGTGTTTTTCACAATCATATTTTTGTGTACATTACTGGAAATTATTGATAGAGCAATAGTATTGAGAAAAGAGGTGAGAATTCAAAACTATTAACTTGGGCTGTTGGGGCCTATGTAAAGATATATATAGCCTGTGGCCTAATTAAGAATATTGATATTTTTCAAACTTTTTTTTGTCGTCTCCAATATGACTCCATCAATTTCCATTTAGATTGAGAATAGGGCAGGTAAAAACACTAAATACAGTACATAAAATCATTTTGATATGGACGCATTTACAGTTTTTGATAACATGATTTCTTTTAATCTTATCTCTTATTTATAGATTATTTTATTTTATTTTTTCTGTTTTCATCTCCAATACGACTCCATCAATTTCCATTTAGATTAAGGCCAGGGCAGGTAAAAACACTAACTAAATAAAGTACATAAAATCCTTTGGATATGGACTTGATAACATGATGTCTTTTAATAATAATAATAATAATGATGATGATGGTGATGATAACAAAGATAATGATAATGATAATTACATAATTAGCAAATAACACAGGAATTTGGGTTCTCCTCGAAGCTGTGGACATAGTAGTGATGTGTGCAGCAAGGATAGTACTTTTGAAGCGTAATGGGCTCAGCTATTGGCTCACGTTCTTTGGGCCAATTCACATGTTTCTTCTTCTCATGAACACTTTTCTTTTTGGGCTCCTTAGCTGGGCCCACACTCAGCAACTCTTTGTTCTTAAATTTCTTCAATTTGGCCATTACGTCAACTGGATTAACATTCCCAATCACTGTTAATTTTTTCTCCTCCATGTCCATAACAAGAGACTCGATGCCTGAATTAATTATAGAATTATTATGATAAGTACATAGTAAGGTTAATTAATTAAACACGTTAAAATTTAGAGAGACAAATCCAAATTTAAAAAAAAAAAAAAAATGATTTGTGCACCTAAAAGGCTAGAAACTGCTTCAATTGCCTTTTGCCTCTCCTTTTCATTACGAACTTGTACGTTCAACACCACTTTCTACGGGAGCACGACGAAATTCACAAGAACAACAATAAGTACATTATAAACAAATGATTAGAAAAGAGAAAAAAATAAAAAATTACTGTAGTATCTAATTAATTAGGCGAGGAAAGTAAATTATGCATCAAATTGTAACACAACTATCATATAGAACTTCAATAATAATATTATAAACAGATGATTAGAAAAGAGAAAAAAAAAAATTACAAGAGTAATTAATTGATTATTTAGGCGAGAAAGTAAATTATGCATCAAATTGTAAACAACTATCATATAGAACTTCAATAATATTAACATTTGGAAAGAAAATAAATAAAGTGAAGGCAAATCTCACCTTGGTCATCTTAAAAGTGTAGGAAATGAAATGAAATTAGTGGAACTTATAAAGTTTTGAGTTGTGTGAAAATCAATACACAGTGATACAATATATAGAGTAGCTAGAGTGAGAAAACATTGTTAGAATATGCAATTTTCCTTGCTTGGGTAAAAAGAGTACTATAAGTATTTCACCCCTTCTAAAATGTAGTAAAAATTAAATATCTTAATATAAGAAGTTGACCCCTCATAAATTTAGTAAAAATGAAACAATTTTCTAGTTGGCGTGTGGGTTTGGGCTTCTAATTTAGTTTACTCATTGAGGTTGACTCCATTTTCTTTTGGATGATCAAAAACCAATCTGATTGGTGGAATATGTTTGGTAAAAAAAATAAAAATAGTTACTACAAATTATTTAGAAAAATATTTGTGGAAATTCCGAAAGTAGATTTTCTGATTGGTGGAATATTTTTGTAAAAGAAATAAAAATAGTTACTACAAATTATTTAGAAAAATATTTGTGGAAATTTCGGAAAGTTGATTTTAAGATAGATTAAATTGATATAATGTAAGAATTGATCAAATTGTGATTGACATTAATAAATAAGTGAGGGGATGAATATTAAATTTTGTATAGAGAATGGGGAATAAAATTTAGACCAAATTTGAATTTTCTTAACAGTAGAAAATTTTGTTAGGTTAAACATTAGCATTTTTTTTCATGCTTTTGAATGAGTTAAATTGGTATTTTCTCCAAAATTATTATCCTCTCCTATATATTAATGCAAAATGTCCTGTGTCGAATTTTTGTATTTCGTCATCCTATTCTAATACTTCGTAGTGTAGATCTGGATTCGATCTATATCTAAATCCATGCCTATTAGGACTTTCAAATTATAAAATATTTGACTAACTTAAATTATAAATAAAAGTTAATAAACTTTATATTTCCTATCGTTTTTTCATATGTAATATATCAAATTATCCATCTTTTGACGAGCTTCAGTTTGATATCCACATTTCATAAAAAAATATTTTTAACTATATTTATTATAAAATTAATAATATGTTAATATTTAATATTAATTAAAAATAAAATTATATATATATATATCAATTAAAAATTTTGCCTCTAATTCATTACATATGAACTAGAAAAATTATTATAATATAAGAATGACAAATCATATGAGTGAAAAGTCTTGTTTTAAATATGGATAATAATGTAAAGGTTTAAAATGTATTAGAAATTTATATGAAAAAAACTTCTCTCTTACATTTTTGATAGTTTAATTTTTAAAAATATTTAAAAGTGAATAAAAGAACTTCCCTACTATATGTCATACTAGTAGTGAAGTGGTGATTATGGGGAAATTCGGGTGGTAGGCGGCTTTAATTTGGGTTGATTATGTGCTGGCACCATCTCGATTGCTTGGGGACTGATAAATGGGCCGAAAGCCCAATCTTCTCCTGATACGGGATCACCGCGACTAGGGTCAACATCACGATGTAGAACCGGAGGGTTTATATTTTTCATTTCTTTTATGAACGACTTCAACTAGTTACCAAATTATCTTGGTATTGAAAAGTTAATTTATTTGATGAGGGTGCTTGAAATATATATTTCTTTTAATAAGAGAAGAAAATTATTATTATTTATCTCATGTAACCCATGATTTTAAGTCTTAAGTGTCCATGCTCCCATGTAGTACTGTAATCGAACTTAACTAGCTGAGCTTGAACGTTTCAAGTTTGTGTTTGATTATGTTCGAACATTCTAAGTTTTCATTCGAATTAGTATTACATCAAAACTTATGTTTGAGCTCATTCATTTAATTATTTATTAAAATTTGAGTTTGTTCGTGTTCGAATAATTTAATAAACAAAGTTTATTGAAATTGTTCCACTAACTCAAGATAGGTTATTCAGTCCTTCGACCTAAAAAATTTAGCAAGAAAAATAATACAGGGTTTTTTATTTATTAAAATACCATATAAAAATGTAAAAATAAAAAATAAATTACAGTAATATTCAGAAACATTATCCAGTAACGTTCCCAAACTAACTCATGTTCATCATTCAATTAATATACGGGCTTTATTTTTAATTCAAGCTCGACCCGAGCAATAAACGCACAAGCTTTTGTCAACACGAATATGCTCGATCGAACGTCTGATTGTTAAACTTCGATCTCGTTTACAGTTCCACTCTCAATCTTTTATTCTCACTAATTATTTTATTATGATGTGGGGTACGTAGGCCCCAAAATGGTACTCTATGGGCCCTTTGCTCCCCCTTAAAGCTAAGACTAATCATTCCCCCCATTCTCTGTTTATTTTCCCTTTCCCATAGTGTCCTTTTTAGAAATGATTTGCATTTTACTTCCAAATTCAGCTTCTGCTTCATACAAGCAAAAGTCACACACATTTTTAATTGTTTTCAAAATCAGTGTGGTGGATTATTAGCATCAAACTCGGGGTTTCATTTTCATTCATCATTTTCAGTCTTTTTCTCTTCTCTCTATTAGACAATTGTATATAGTATGTTGGTTTTATTTTCTACGTAGACATCATGTGAAAACATGCTTGTTTCGGTTTTGAATAATAGTCAAATACATGCATATGTTTGTCGTTTGAAATATTTCGGTAATACTATAAGCTTATTGCAAGCTAACTTGAAACACAATTGTATTGAAAGTTTCAATATTTTTATTAATGCCGACAAATAGGTCATAATCTCACACATTTTAAGTGCACGGCCGCACTTTATTGAATTTTTTGGACTATATAGTTCAAAAAGTACACCAAAATTATTATTATATTATGTTTTTTTCACAAATTCTCCTAGTTGATTGTCTAAATTTCTTAATAACAAAATGAATGGTTATACTTTTCTTTTTATCCGACATAAGTATATTTTTCTTCGACCACTAGCACAAGGTCGAGTATGTTACATTAACAATAGAATTTAGGTTAGATCGGCCTAACTTTAAATCTAATATTTAGTTTGATACAAATATGTGATTCTTCATTAACAAAAAAAAAGAAAAAATACTTTAGAAAGCAAACGAACATAAGCATAACATTTGCTTGTATAAAAAGCATTTTTTTAAAATAATGTCTATAAATTTTTCCGTTTTTCTTAATAATTTGCCCGCCTTAAATATGTGATAATGATATGATATTGCACCACACGATTGAGTTTGATGTAAGGATTAGATGTCTAACCCGTCATATTAATATCACATATATGGCTCAAACAACAAATTTTGATATTGTTGTTATTATAATTAAAGTACTAAGGAAACATAACAATTATATATGTAAAAACAATTATGTAAAAGCGTTTATTTCTCTCCACATATCGATCCCTTTTGTAGCATCTCTTATTTTTAATTTGTCCCAAAATTAGATGGCGTTCATTTTACTAGCTAGATCAAGCTGTGGATTATTTAATTCTCATGAAACTAAAGCTAATCTAATATATTCGATAAACAAAAATACTATTGAGATCGTTAGAAAAAATTAATGGTTAGAAAATCAACCTTTTTCATATAATTGTGCATTATTATTAAAAAGTTATAGTTAATGATTAGACCATCTCACACAAGAACTTGTAGTTACATTATTATTTGGAACAAGAAATATTCGCCAGAATCCAAATTAGCATTAATCTCCCTTTTTTTAATTAGACCCATTACCTTTTGCTTCAAATGGACGGTGCCAAAACAACCAAATAATCCCCTATCAATCATTAGACCTAGTAAACAAGATAATTAATTGCAATTATTTGATTAAGTCCCAATTATTAATGATCTAACTTGGACAAGTGACAATTCTATTCAATAATTTTGGAATTGCACAAAATATCTACTAGCTAATTAAATCACGAATATTTTGATCAAACAATGAGTAGTTTTTACATTAATTGTTGGGTATATGGTTGCAAACGAGTCGAGCCGTTCGCGAGCTGAGTGAATGCTCAACTCGAACTCGAGTTTAGCCGAGTTATAGCAACTCGGATTTGAGCTCGGGCCTTTAGTTTTTACGCTTGAGCGTTTGCCGAGTTGCTTGAATATATGTAAAGTTACCTAAATACCCCTCATTAATCATTTTTTAATTGAAATTTCTAAGTCGAACTCGAGAAAAATTCGAACCAATCTCTAGCGTTTGTGTTTTGTTGTTGAGTCGAGACTCGTCGAGCTCGACAAGAAAAAATAAATCAAGCATGACTTAATAAAACTAGACTTGACTCGGCTCGTTTGTAACCTTAATTGCACATATTTATTCAATTATTTTATTCGTTTATGACTTATGAGACCGTAAAAAGTTATGGGCAAAATTTCTCACTGCTTCCAAGTTACTAGACATATTTTATAATTTTAATTACCGATTACTATTTGATCTAATATTGCTTGTAACTTCAAATGCACTCCCTAATCATATCGATGGCGACTTCAGATTTAAAGCGGCCGCATATACATACACATATATATATTCATACATTACATTTGAAAGTCTGCAAACCAACCGGCAATAAGCGGCTGTTCTACGTGAAAATA